GATTCGTTCTAGTCACTATTCACGACATCCCCGGACTTTATCTTTTGACCGTCTCGGTTAAACCTTTCCTCCATGGTCTTATCAACTTTGACAATGTTGATTTTGCTCTGCCAGTTCTTACCTTTGGTATCTTGTTCCATTCAGATCTGTATTTACTTAGTCGATCTGCATGTACGATGTCCGTTTTTCCTAAATGATTGGTTATCTCGTATGTTCCTCCTTCATATCTTTCCGTAATTACAAACGGCCCTACATTTCTGTCACTTAGTGCAGAATACGGTGTCGCCAAAGCTTTCAACACTAACTCTCCTATTTTAAATTCCCTTACTCTTACTGCCTTATTGTATCTCAACTCATCTAACTGTTTTGTTTTCAGCCCTAAGTCGTAGGCTGCTTTTCTATAGCCAGGCAATTGCTTTAGTGTATCTTGCCTGGTTATTCTATCTTCAATGTGCAATGGCTGGCTGTTCCATATTGCTGGCGTTATTATTTTTTGCCCCAGCACTAGCTCTGCTGGGGTTTTTCCAATACTCCTATGGATAGTGCTACGCATTGCCATTAACGTGCGCCATATTGCTACATCCCAGTTATGTTCATCTTTCACCGTTAATTTTCTCAGTATTTGTTTGAAAGTTTGTATTGTCCTTTCTACTTGACCATTAGCTTGTGGTCGATATTCCGTTACCGGCCTATGATTTATGCCTAAATATCGATTTACCGTGGCCGCCACTTCACTACTTAATGGTGTCCCTCTATCCGTAACTACCACTTGGGGTACTCCAAATTTACTTACAATCTCTTCACATAGAAACGCCACTATTGTGCGTGCTGTTACTTCTTTTGTAGCTACTGCTACTGGCCATTTAGTAAAGTAATCTACTCCTATAATGATGTATTTATTACCATACTTTTCTGTCGTTGGCAATGGCCCTGCTACGTCTATGCCCCATTGAATGAAAGGACCGGTCACTTGATTTACCTGATATGGTTGTGACTTTCTCACAATATAATTGTGCCTTTGACATAACTCGCACTGTTCTACTATCTTTTTGACCATCTGATATATTCCTGGTGCAAAATAGAACTGTTTAATGATCTGCCACGTTCCTTCGGCGTTTTTATGGCCTTCTTCGTGGATTCTTTTTATTACATCTGCCACTTCCTTTGGGTGTACATATAATAACCATCTATGATTCACCATTTTCCATAGTTGCCCGTTTTCAGTTTTAAAAGTTTCTCTGATCTTTGTTTCGCTAGGATCGTTTGTTTTTACTTTAATTTTTTTTAAAATTTTCTACGCTAACATATAATACTTCTTCTTCAGGGATATTATCTTCCCAGGGAAACCGGCTTAACACGTCACTCGGGTTTTTGATCCCCTCTTTGTGAATGACTTTGAAGTCATATGAACTCAATCGCATTACCCATCTTCCTAATCTACCCTTTGTAGGTGCGTT